TCTTTTGGGTGATTCACTCTACTATAAACTGCCCTGGATGCTGCTAAAAACATGTACAGCTACTTGTGAGAGTCTCTTGACAACAGAAGGGATCTCTGGAGTTCATAGATACACTTCATGGTTGATAAAGACAATGCCCTTACAATATATTTGAATTTTGGAGCAACAAAAAGTGGCCTATACTTTACCAAGCTTGGTGGGAAACACACTGGTTATAGTATTGGTATAGTAAATAGAAATTTGAGGAAACTTTACTATACTTAAAAGGGCCCGTTATAGTTAATTATAGTACATATAGACCCAGTGCTGCTTCATCTCAAAAGCTCATGGTTCATTAAGTTAATCAATTTTATCTAGGTGGCTCTTTCAAGAGGTTCTTGATTTCAGATTGGATTTTATAATTTTTATAGAGGGTTAATAAATCTATCCCCTAGTTATTCTGTGTGTACACCTGGTATCTGAGCTTTTGCAACACATGGTTTGCTGTGCAAAGACTTTTTTTTTCTCAAGGAGGATCCCTATGTACATTATGTAACTTCAATTCTCAATGGTCATACCTCCCAGCAAGGGAGAAGTGCTGGTCTTGAGGCATGGAGGAATCCTCATTGGCTGTCAAGACTTGACAGTCTCAATGGCCAAAGAGTATTCCTACAGTCTTGAGGCTGGGATGAATCACTCTCAGCCTCAATGTATGGTCTTGAGTCCAGGAGGAATCCCACTCAGCATCAAAACTGTACAGTCTTCATCTCCAGAGGAATCCCTCTTGGCCCTGAGATCCTCTTAGAGAAAATCAGTGCTTTATATGTGGCCAAACTATTTGAAGCTTAGTGGAGAAGTGCATTAGCAGTGCAGTCTGAGAACATCTCTGACAGAGAGGGGGTGGATTGAGCTATTTTCAGCAGGCTCAAACAACATTTTTACAAGATAACAGGTCTCTCCCCTGCAGTTTTTTTTTCAATTTTCCACAATCCACCCTTGATAGGCAGGGTAAAACAGATAGCCAGGACCTGACTTGAGCAGGTCTGCTCCAATTTGATTAAGTCCCTCCTACACAAGATCAAGATCCAGGGTTATTTGGAATAAATTCCAGTTCTGCTGAGACCAAACATACCCATTCAATACCTTTTTGACAGTCAGAAGTGGGTGAAGGCTTATTTAATCCTGGTTGAACCTGCTGAAAACAGCTCAATCCACCACTGCTCCATTAGAGATGCTCTGAGGAGGTAAACCTGTGGTAGTGCAGAATTGATCAGACAAGCAGAAAGCATGTACCACATGGAATTCTTGGCTTTGAATCTAAGGTTCAGAATGCACAAGATGCCAAGGGGTTTGAGGGGCCAAGATTGGGTGGTGTTGAAACTCCCGGTGATCCTCTTGTGAACCTCAACCTTGCCTCCGCATTGCCAACCACCGCAGTCAGAAACTTATTCAAAAACCTAATGAATAGCAACCCACAAGTGGGAACCTTAATCATCCCCACTCTATCATGTATAAAAGCTGGGGTTCTTCTTGCTTCTTTGGAGGAACTCACTGGCTACTCATCTCTGAACTCACCAGTGACTCCTTCCTCATCAACAACTCGAACCTCCAACTTCATCAACCCAGTCGACTTCTTTCAACCTCATCGGCCTAGTTGACTACACTCATCCTCCTTGACCTCGTCAAACTCAATCATCCGTTATCTCATCACCGTGTCTTATCCATTTGGTGAGAAAAGATACTCAACCATTTGACTTCTCATCATTTGACAACTAACAGTCTCATTCTTTATCCTCTCAGTCCAGCTTCTGTCCTTGTCTACTCTCTTCTCTCAGTTGTTCTCTACATCTGTTCCTCACCGTTGTGGTAAAGATTCCTTTCTCTTCCTCTTTCATCTCAATGTCTGTTCAGCATCTAAAACTTGTTTTGTTCTCAGTCTGGTTTTGTGTTTCATAGCAATAAAGTTTTCTCAGGTGGAAAGTTGGGCAACAGATATTCACATCAAAGTTTGGGTGCTGATGTCATTGTACAATGACAGTAGATAATGGGATACATGCTGTGGTGTGGTAATTGAAAATACAAAAATTCTAGATTTTGTCTTTATATACACTGCAAGGGAAATTATTGAAGCAGAAAGAGCCCACACCATACTCTACACTGAATCTGAGTCAAATTCAGGATTTTATTCTACATTGTTCTGGTTCACCCCTATGAAGCCACAGGGTAGTTGGAGCTTGATTGGAGCATGCTGCATGTAAACTGGCTGCCTGGCAGCAGTTGCCTGAATTTTTCTTGTAGTGATATATTTTCTCATGAAATATTCTTTCAGAAATCACCCAATATGGCTTCAGAAATGGACTCTGTGGAAAATTTCACCCTAGGTCACCACTGGAGGTGTCATTGTAAACCCCACAGATTAAAAGTTCAATGCCAACACTCATTCAGTTGTTGTGACCTAGGTCACAGAGTGTGACTTGGCTGCCACTTAGCCAGCCAGAGGAGACTACATCTGCCTCCTCCAGGCCACAGCTACTGAAATACATACACTTACAACCCTCTGAGTCACTGCATCACTCACCTGTTACAAAACCCCATTCAATTTTCAGTTATTTTTATAAACAGCTCATTTTATCTACATGATTTACCACACCTGTTTTGTTTCCACCACACATATTAATTAGATTATATTTCTTCATTTGCACAAACTACTGCTATTGGTTGTACAGCCTTCAATGGATTGATTTACCACACTATGAAATTTTCCCACACTAACTATGAAATCATCAGTATTTTCCCACATTAAGTATGACAACAGCTTCATTTCCCCTCAATTTTGCACATCATTTCACACTAATCGTGCACAGCCATACTAAGCCAAATTCCCTCACCTGAATATCTGGACTCAAAGCTAAATTCCCTCATTTTTACCTACAGTCACTGATAAAATATCAAGTAACTGCTGCCAATTGAAATGCAGAAACTCTCATGAAAGTTGAGTTGTTACTCAGGTGCTACTCAGCCATTGCTTCAGCCATTCTTCAAGTTCAATGCACATTCCCTGTGGACATTGCACAGTTCCTGTACCAATTTTCCAGAAATACGAGAATATTGAAGTATGACACAAGTTACATTGGAAGTAACCTGCATGTCAACTACCACCAGTTGAGCAAGACTTTTTTCTGGTGAGGCCATCTAACATCACTCATTCTTGTCTGCCCTGGGAATGAAATACCTCACATTTATCTACATGAGGAGACTTACTTCCCCCCTTTTGTTTTCTCCTCAGTTTGTAATTATGATATTATCAGATCTTGTAAGCAATACCAATCCAGATACCCCAGAAAAGCTGCCATGGATGAGTTTCCCAATACCCACTCTGGGGAAATCCAGTATTGGAATGGTTGGACAATCTGATCTCAATAAAAAGGATTGGTCAGATAATTGACATGATCCCCAATACCAATAATGCTCTCTATAGAGTTTGCAGAGTCTCTTTGGGCTTTGAGAGAATAGATGTTGTTCATTGATTGAGAAACCTTTGAGATTCAACTCATTAGAACATTTTGTGTGGAGTATTCTTCATTTTAGGCCATCAATTAAAGGAGGTGCTTGTCACCTCAAGTTCAACACATGTGACATACCAATCTAGAAACAGGACACATACATACATCATCAAGTGATTGAAGAGAAGTGTAGCCAATCCCTCTGGTTGAGTGGAGTTGGTGGAAGCAAAGACTCCTCTAGAAAATAACACAACTATGTTGAACCCCTGATTTACCCGTTGTTGATGCTACTTCCAAGGCATTGCCACAGCAAACTTGAGTCAAAATGCCAAGGGAAACCATCAAGGATTGAAAATTTAAACATAACTCTGGCTCAAGTAACAGGCATTTTCTTATCTTATGGTTTCCACAAGGTCACAAGGACCAGATCACCATCATGAAGAGTACTTAGCTGAGCCATTCCCCTTCTACCTAGATGCAACGCTGGGCCGCTACGCTAAAGGGCCACTTAGCGTTAGCGTAGCGGCGCAAAAACGGGCCCTTTTTTCTGTAGTGTTAGCGTGCCGCTACCGCCGCTACGCTACGCTACGCTACGCTACGCTACGCTACGCTACGCTACGCTACGCTGTAGCCCCGCTAACAGGCGGCCTGTTTCTGGGTAGTGTTAGCGCATTGCTACAGCCGCTACGCTGTGTTACGCTGTGCTACAGCGCTTTTAGCGGCAAAATAGGCGAAAAACCCGCTAAAAAGCGCTGTAGCGCGGCGTAGCGGGCATTTTGTGCCCTGAGCGCGTAGCGTTAGCGCAATTCCAACTTTCTGCGCTAACGCTACGCTAACAGCTAACACGCTTTTTTGCCCTTTGCGCGTAGCGTTAGCGCAGAAAGCTGGATTTTTTGCTAACGCTACGCTACAAAGTAGCGTATTTCCGCTGCGCTACGCCACGCTAACGCTACGGTTAGCGTAGCTGGCCCAGCGTTGCTAGATGGCAGGGTTCTTTGAATCTTCTCTCTTATATCTAGGTAAGTGCCTCTGATTTGATGTTTCCCTTCTATCTCTTCTTGTTTTCCTCAGACTCCACATACTTACAGAACATTTTTCTCTCTTCCATCTAGCCTTTTGAAATAAAATACCCACATTGGTTTTAGAAACCACTGGCTTCTAGCCCTGCATCCTGCCTTTTGCAGTGAAATTCAGTGAAGAGTTCTGGCTCTTGCCCTTGGACAATGGTGGGCCGCTACACTAACCGTAGCGGTTAGTGTAGCGTAACGCAGCAGAATTCCCGCTAGCGTTAAGCGTAGCGGAATTCCGCCACAACACCGCTAACACAACACGTTTGGGCCACAAAAAAGGGCCCACTACACTGCGCTACAGCGGTTTTTAGCGGTTTTTAGCTGCTTTTTCCGCTAAAAGCGCTGTAGCGCAGCAAAAATGCACTGCAAAAGCACTAACACTACAAAATTTTGGCGCAAAAAAAGCGCCGCTACGCTACACTTTTTGGGCCAAAAGTGTAGCGGCCCACTGCTGCCTTGGATCAGGATAGAGAAATAAAGCATGACTAGATATAGGAAAGTTTGGAATAGGGAAAGGGTACAACAATCAACACAAGACAATCACAAGCCAACAAGTTGGAGGTGATAGAACAAGACTAGGGGCCGAGGAAATGTTTGAATACAACATACAAGTCAATGTGGGAATTAGACATGCTCCTATCTGTTTATATAAGTTACAAAAAGATGAAAAGAAAAAGTGTTAATTTAATAAATGTGAGTGTGAGGTCACAGTGGAAATAGCCAAGCCAAGAAGAATGGCTGAATGGTTAAATATTGTCTCTATACAAAGCAAACACATTTGATTGTGATTCCACCCAAGTTTGAGGAATGTGTAATTTCTCAACTTATCAAATCTACAAAAAAAGATTGAGCAAAGAAAAGGCATTTGGTCACAAGTCAATATCTGAATGTCATAAATGAGAGGAAAGAAGCAAGAAGAAAACAGAAAATAAAAACCTTAGAGATATCTCGACCCCAGATGCCCCTTTTGATCCAATCCAAAAGGATCAACGTCCTAGTCCGGGTAGAGACTTGTTCAGACCAATAAATCGATCTCCACTACGATTTACATTTTATGAAAAAGGATCCGATCAAGAAGAGGTATCAATTGTCTGTCTCATTCTTACAGTCGAACGATTCCAAACAAAGGATGTCCTAAAGTAAAGTGGGTAGAAACTTAACTAAGTATGCAGCTACCAAACCGCCAGCAAAGCTACCATATTTGTCCCCGAAATCGAACACAGCCGAGTTCCCGATATCTGTACCAAAGCAACCAGGAGGAAGAAAAAAAAAACAAATCTTGGTATGGCAGCGGTAGATAACGATAAGAAAAAAATTAAGAGACGATGGAGCAAATTCTCACAAGCCAGACTGCCAAGGTGACGATAAACAAAAGGGTCGAAGAGAATCTCATCCAAGTCCGAGTTGACCAGCTCGTTCTGATCGATTGACTTTAACGCTTTCGGGGACTGGAACCGGTTGAACTTCTTCCCCAGGTATTTCCCTTGCTGATCAGCGACTTGTGCAGTCGCTGGTAAGGATGTCAATCGGTTCGAGATCTCTTGGAACATGACCACTAATTCATTCAATCCCAGTTTATTGTCTTTATCTGAATCATACTTTTCAAACACATCCCTTGTTTCGTTTAGGAAAATAATTACTGTCAGTGTGTTTGCTTTTTTTTCACTTGAGTGCTTTGGATAGATGCAGTCAAAACATGTCGTTTACCTGACTTTCTCGATGTGGACTTGAGCCGTGGGGAATTTCCTACGGATCTGTTTGATCATTGCTTCGAATTCGTCAAAGTCAATTTGACCGTCATGATTAGTATCACATCGATCGACCAAATCCAACAAATGGTTAACCTGTTTCCAATGAATTTTAAACCAGTTCAGTGGGTCTTCCGGGCGAGATGATGAAATTGGTGAAAAATCGGGAGGAGTGCGTGATACCCCCGGTGAAAACAAAGACGAAAATGTTTTCAGTGAAAAGATGACTGACTAGATTAGTTTCAATGGTTGAAGCATCTCCAATTGCGTAAACAGTGCCAAGAGGGGCCCCTTTGACTCTCAAACTGAAGAAGAGGATCGGGTAACATGTGCATACATCAACAAAGCGGGGGAAAAAAATTAAATGATAACAGAGGGAGGAAGGCGAGATCTTGAAGAATGAGACCAAAATAAAACTGACTGAGAATCGACTTCCAAGGCGTGTTTGTGGTATTGATTAGGAAGATACTGGGCCAGTTTTTGTGTCAGTGGATTCATCGCGATCCCTGTTGACCAAAGCACGAACCCAGCAGGAATGGTGTGTAGTTGATTCTTGTCGACTTTGCTAGAGTAACTAACTGAAGTAGGTGTGATTTCTTTGACTCGACTGAGTATATTTTTGGATTACCAAAAGGGAAATCAAATCGGACAAGATCAATAACAAGTTTTGTCCCCTCGGGACGAAGAGAATATTTCACTGACGCATCTGAGGTTGGTAGTTACATTTAAGGATAGATAGTACCACATTAGCTTTTGTCCCTTTGATCATAGGGTGGTCAACTAGCTTACTCAGAATCGTGTCAATCTCAGCTCTCAAGAACCGATCTTCAGCATATTGAGAGATTTTTTCACTGTAGGTGTTCAGGATGTGATCTCGGGATTGGATGAGATGGATAGACACTTCGTTAGTCAATAACTTGGGAAACTGTTATCGATTTTGCCGTTCCGGTTCGTGTTCAGTGGGTGCATAAGCATTGGAACCCAGTTTTGACGAGTTAATAAGGAGAACCGATTTAAATCTTCACGGAATAGCGGGACACAGACAAGGGTGGAAGACATTTGAGAAATCGACTTGCGTATTTCAGTACGTCTTCGTGGATCATATCGTACAGCTATACTCCCGATATCATGAAGAGAAGGAAAACACGACACAGGAAAAATCAGTTTTCAGACAATCACTCATCAGATGACTCAAGACGAAGAAAGAAGAAAATGCCGACCTCCGAAGCGAACTCGACGCCAGTAGGCCCACCCCCACAAACGACGAAGCTGAGCAAGCGTCTTCGCTCCTCCTGACTAACACTGGGCAAACTTGCGCGCTCGAGATTGTTGATGATCTTCTGTCGAATCTCGCGGACATCGTCGATCGTCTTGAGTTGTGAGGAATACTTCAGACCGGGCACGCCATGCGCATTGGAGACCGAGCCGACGGATATCACTAGTTTATCATAAGCTGCACATAAAAACAACAACTCCTGTATCAATATGTTTCCAAAAGAAAGAATTCAAAGCTGAGAAGCAGGGCACGCGCCCGGGGAAAAAACTTACGAACATAGAAAGGTTCATCATCCTTTTCCCGCCCTCTTACTTCCACCAGCCGTTCCCCGAAATCCACGTCGACCGCATATGCCTGTAAATAATGGCCCTTGACGCGTGCAACGAGCTTCCTGAGAGGCTCGATCAACGATCTAGTCTCGACCGTTCCTACGGTGGCTGAGGGTAATAAAGGTGTGAACAAGTTATAATTCTCGGGTGCACTGTTTTTTTTTTTTTTTTTCAGACAATACGAGACGGTCAGGCTTGGATCCTTGAACTTATGTAAGGAAAAATTATAGATTGGGAACGGACTCTCACATCAGCACCACATGGTAGCTATCCGGCTCGAGTGAGTTGATGAGTCCCATGGCCTAAATACATCAAGAAATGCGCAAAGGAATCAGTTTTTCATTGTGATTCTCTTTGCGTGAAGTTCATACTTGTATTATAACTTACGCCCCATCCTCCTCCTACAATCACTAACTTTGGTTTATCACATAGCTTCTCAAATTCCGGATCATCTTGGTCTCCCACTAAGTAATTAGCAATCTATACTTTTTCAAATATTCCAAGTTTTTCCCATTAATTTGAAAGTGAAACAAAGGACTATCAATATTCCAATCTGCTAATTTTTCTTTTCTTGCTTAGAGCATAGAAAGCTGACCTTCAGATTCTTGGGTCCTCCCCGGGTTGGCTCTAGTGCTAAAGGCTGAACAGGCACGCGTTCAATATTTTTTTCCGAGTAGGTGGTTGCGTCGTAAGCCAATAATCCCAAGAGGCAAACAAAACAACTGTTTGAAATGTGATACACAATAAATTTCAGTAGGGTCGAAAATGGGCTTCATTGGAAGGCCGTTCATATAAGGACTGAACATATTGGATACGTACCTCGCTGTAACCACGCCGATTGAGCCAAAGCCAATAACTAGGACCTTGAGGTATCTATGCCTGTTCAAGAACAATCTGGCCCGCTCAAATCGACCGACCGCCAGTTGCGTATTCGATTGGACCGCGGACTCAACTTGAGGGGCCTTCAAGGGTCTGTTGAGATGGAATAGCCTGATGTGCGGCAGTGGTGCTGCCACTGGTGTATGAATACGATGCTGCAGTTGGTGGTGTTGGTTCGTTGTCAGTCGAAATGTTCCTGTTCTGAGGAAGGGCTGAGTTCTGAGATTCCTTATCATGATGCTTCCAGACTGCTTTCTTTCTTTCTTCTTGGTTTTCCTTGGTACACCACCACTCGAGCCAGGCCACACCCTCTCTCGAACTTAACACAAGTCTCCCCTGGTGGGAGGCTCGCTGGTGTAACTGGCTGGGCGCGAAGCGCCCCCTCCCGCAGGGAGGGACTTGAATATTATAACAACTCTCTTGTATGAACAGGAAGCAAGGTTTTGGTGGTGGCAACCTTGTTTGCCCCACCACTCATTCAATTTCGCAAAGTTTCTTTTTTATTTCTAGTAGATCACAGATCTGCATAATTAGGATTTTTCTATATTTTTTTAAGGCAAAATCATCCAAATTTGAATCCATAAAATAATTTCAAAATATGTGCTTTTGAACTTTGATCTTCAAGCCTGACATAACAAAGCCCGAGCGTGATCAGCTTACAAGCATATTTATGCTTAAATAGAGTTTCTGTAATTGACATACCGATTTTCTCATATCATCAGTAAACACGCATACAATCTTTCTTTTTTTTTGACAACACCCTTCACATCCAATCAATACTCAATTTTTCCAGTGCTTGAAAATGATTCCCCTTGACCGGCACAAGGAACTACATACTGAAGCATCAAAAATCATATACATCTGTGATGTCATCAAGCTACTTGGTTTGACTCCCAAGAAATTCTTCCTTGCTTTCATCGAACAAAAGGACATCGAGTTAGCTTCAAGGCGTCGGCTTTGGGCCATCGAAGGCTGGGATTCAACTGAAATCCTGCTAGATACTATTGGTAAATTTGTTTGCTCACATGTGCGTGCTCGACCTCTCTGGAATGAATTCATCTTGACTCAGGTAAGTCGTTTTATATTTCTCGATTCCAAGACATATTTTTTCCACTCCTTGCTGATTTTCTACCTTCATACCTGTAGGCCAAAAAGGTCCTACAAGTGGATCGAAAACGCGATAAGCCTTGTGGATTATACTACAATTCCAAGGAAATATCGCCCGATTTTTTCGCGGGAGATAACCGAGTCTTGAGGGACAACCAGATGGTCCACGAGGAGACCCCGTTTCTATACAATCTCATCAAATCGAAGATCTTACACCAATCGAACGATGATGCGGACGATGATGTGGACAATACAGAAGACTCAAGTGACGAAGGTGACGATATCGATGCCAACGATTCCCTGTGTGATCCAAAGGACGATGCGATTGTACCAGATGGGGAGGCTAGAGTTGCTGCCAAGATCTTCCGAGCTCATATGGTAAGTTCTTCATTGATGTATCTAGTTGAATGGTGTGTTAATGATGAAGTCATCTTTCCTTTACAGGTATCCATGCCACAGTTTGCTCTATGGTTACGTTTGCATCAAACCGACGCAAAAATGCAATGCAGCTCGAAAACTCAGCCACCTTCCTAGCATGCGGAGTCTCTGACCGAGTTAGCAAGTATCTCAATTACATCGGCTTATCGTCCTCTCGATTAACCTCCCACTCTGCGATGCGTAAACTTGGACAGACAGCCGAAAAATCAGTCATCAAATGTATGAAGATCAATCAAAAATACCCCACAAACTTAAGCCCTTTGATCTGCATGTGTGAGCGGGGACTTCAACCAGGCTGTACATGTTAAATCAATCGATAATCAAAGTTCCATGTTTCATGGTACTTGGGGGTACCTCCATTCAATACATCCCAGTATTCTAGCTAGCGTCGATCCAAAGGACCTATCGCTTGAAACCTACAGACAGGCGATTGCGAATTCTGCTGAAGATGTTATATCTCCATCAATCTTCATAATAACAAAGGAGGAAAGCTACCACCAACGAGCTATTTTGAAGAGTCAAATTGCTTCAGTTTTCTTATCATATATTGCTCAACCAACCGATTCAACCCCAAAAATCGCACTTTAACCACCACCAATTGAAAGTCCTAGCCCGCCCGACGACCAGATATCACTATGCTGGAAGCTAATGGGTTGCCTTCAGACAACAGCTCAGAAGGAGTTGGTGGAGGTATTTGAAGGGTCTTGTACG